GCAGAGATTGAATCCGGAGCGGTACGAGCTCGAGCTGTACTCCACTTGGAGGTCGTGATACTCCTGGGAGTCCTTGAAGTCCCAGACTGCCTTCTCCCACTCGGCCTCCACCATAGTGTCGAAGTTCCGAGTTCGGTCCAGAAGTGTGGACTCCAAGTCCCGAACCTATTGGTGAAGGAGCTCCCTCACCGCTGCCACCCTCGATGACTCCTCCCTGTAGCGCGCGCTCTCCTCGGAAAGCCTGGCGATCTGCGCCTCCTGGTCACGGACGAGCAACTCCTGGGCCTCGCTCCCCTTGCGAGTGTGAAGGAGCTCACCCCAGGTCCGGTCAAGCTCACCTTGGAGCTTCTGAACGATGACCCTCTGATTGCGAGCGTCGCCAGAGTGGATGTTCGTCTGGAGGGCCATGGCGTGGATGGCGGAGTTCACCTGCCAACAAGAGATTAAGGTTAGAAGACAGCAAAAGGAAGCAAAAAACGAGAAGAGGGGAGGGACCACTTACCACTATACAATGAGAGGCGGCGAACGCGGTGAGCTCCATCTCCCCCCACTTAGCGATCTCCTCGTTGCAGATCGCCCTTCGGCTCTTCCACCTGGCCACAACATAATAATTAACACCCTCCCAGTTCCCCATCGGGAGCCGCGGGTAGGGAAATGGATGGAAGGACCAGGGGGAACCACCCCTTGCTGCGGGAGCTCGCCCTCCTTGAGGCTACCTCCACCAGCACCTCCTTCAGATGGAGGTAGCGGAACTTCAGGTGGTGGAGAAGTAAAGTCTGGCTCAGCAGACTCGAACTCAGTGCCCCTAGAGGAGGGAGTTCGGTCAGGACGCGGCCTCTTCACTTTGTGCTTTTGGTTGCTCGAAAGAAGGCGGCGCACATCAACACTAGACATGATGGCTGCCAAAAGACCACAAGGTATTAGTCCAGTAAAAAAAACACAAAGCATATGTATACACATGATATTTTTACAAGGGACTACACGACCTAAAAAGGCAACCTACCCGGACGCAGGCCAGCCTGCGCGAGCTTCTCCTTGGTCAAGTAGTCTGAACAAAGGAAGCCTACCGATGCCCAGGACAACATCGTTTTCTGAATTTCAGGGTCCAACTCGGCCCTGGGGTCCTGGATGGCGCCCCTCCAAGAAGTTGGGAAGGGCCACCCCTCAGGGTTACGAACCACAAAATAGTCCTGCTTCCAGGCAGGAATCTTGTTCGGTAGCTCGTACAGGAGCTTATAGCCGCGACGGGGAGAGAGGTAGTAAAAACGCCTTTCCGGAGGAGCTCCAGGAGTGGCATTCTTGATGCAAAGAATAGAAGCGAAAATATCAAGGTCAAGGGGAAGACACTACTCATAGCACAATGAAATGGTCCCAACCATGTTACAGATGGCATTGGGATGGAGCTGGTCGATGGTGACGTTGAAATGGTTTAACACCTCCACTATTAGAGGGTGCAGGGGAAGACGCAGGCCAGCCCCGAGCTGTTCCTGGAAAATCACTATATCGTTGGGACCATGTTCCGAGGGAAAGTTTCTAGTGGGGATACTGTAGAGGAGGTCCCCGGGAAGGTGAAAGTAACGGATTAGAGACTTGAGTCTCTCCACCGTCATGGAGGAGGGGCCGAAGGTGTTGGGCTCCCTCCCCCGAGAAGTAGAGGCCACATCAACGGAGGTCTCCCGAGCCTCCGGAACCTGCTCCCAAGCTCCCCCTGAGCTCGAGGGGGGGTCATCGTCCTGGTTACCATCCCAGGAATAAGCATGGTATGGATACCCAGACATGATTTATAGAATGATTAAGACTCACCGAGAAAAAATGAAACGGTGTGAATGGAAGAGCTCGGGTAGACTAGATGGATGCGCGACCTCAGAATCCGAAGACAACAAGATAGCATGAAAGAAAACGAGGCCTAGGGGGCCCTCCTATTTATAGTCACTGTGCCTCTGAATCAACGGCCCAGATTGAGGCAGATATGACGGTTTGCAGTCAAGCTGACCACACGCCTTCTGAAACCGAAATGTGACTGGCTGCACGTCTCCCATGATTGAGGTAATGGCGGTTGCACGACATCCGGAGTTAAGAGCCGCTTCAGCACATTTTTCGGTATTCGAAAAGTCAGAAATCCCCTGATTCCCGCACACACATTTAATATGACCAGTCAATCAAGTTTGAACTTCGGTCAAATCAACCCGTCACACTTCATGAACTCCTCACGCTAAGGTAGCACTCTTAGCCTGAGGTGTGGGGAGCAATTGATGGAGGATGATTTGACCCGACCCATTGAGACGATGACACGTGGACCTGACTCAGCACGAGCAGCAACTCAGCACCACAGCCTGACTGCAACTAAGTAACGAGCCTGTAGAATAGCTCGCCATGTCATAGCTCACTGTAGGGGGAGCTCGCTACAACGCGAGCTCCAGGTCCCCCGAGCTACTGAGAAGGGAATACTCCAAGACTATTTCAGCTCGCGAGCTAGGGTAATCAGCTCGCTCCAACACTTAGGTAGAAGAACTGCTCCAAAGACAATCTCGATGAGGGCCACCTCGAAATATCCCTAGGAGCTCGCTACAAAGTAGCTCAAAGATAGCTCGCTACGCGACAGGATAGCTTGCTACAAAGTAGCTCGCGACTAGGTAACGCGACACTATCAAGAAGCTTCTATCTGACAAGACCGTACCCGTCAGATTGCACCACGTCTCTCGATTGACAGCGTAGTCCCTGCCCATTTGACAGTCTGCGCCCATGTCTCTCGACAGATGGTGGCGTGCCTGTCCCTTCGGGACGTGTCACTCATTCAAGCGGGTAGTACGTTGTAACGATCACATGCGCAGCCTTGGTAGGTAACGGTTGCGACAGGAGTCCAGTGGCGGTTAAAAGCCCTTTAATCGAAGGGGAGAGGACTCTCTCGGATTTTCATCTAAAATTGAATTATCTTACTTGCTCTTGAGCTAATCTTGAGAACTTAGTGATCTAGCGCGACCTACACTCTTAGCCTTTTTACACTCTTTGCTTTTCCCCCTAGCGTTCTAACTTAAGCTTTGGAGTATTTCCGCCGGGCGAACCCCCCGGGAATCCTTCACCTTCGTCTTCTCATGTGCCGTCTGTCGCCAGCGAGGAGCCAGTCAGCAGCCAACTAGGAGTGCCCGGATCGTGCCGCATCAATTTCATTTCTATCTTTATTTTAAAAATATAAAATTCATTCTATTGATAATTATTGTGTATGGATTTATTAGTGGAATTTAATGATGATAAACAAAAGTATTTTTTATATTCCTAAATCTGTATCATTTACTTATAACATCATGAAATTATCCATTTGACCTAAATGGTTGAACTACTTACCCACCACCTAGATAAAAAATATGATTTCACTTCTATGTTTATTTTAAAAATATAAAATTTCATTCTATTAATACTTATTGTGTATTTTATTAGTGGAATTTAAAGATGATAAACAAAAGTATAAATGTTGGATTTAATGAGAGAGAATGTGATTTATTTAATGACTTAAATGTGAGACTTAATGAGAGGTAAAGAAAAATTCTAATGATATTCTTTTAATTATATTTTCTGCCCTTTCAATGGAGATGAACTAAATTCAGATGAGGGGTATTTTAGTAAAGAAAAATTCTAGAAGCCAATACCTCTTTGATCTGTTAGCCCGGGAGCCATTGGCATTAGTGGTATTAGTAAATTAATGTAGGTCTTCTATTTCTCCTTGGACTTTCTATTTCTCTCCTTATTCTTTTATCAAACCAAAAACATTCTTAGGGTATTAAATGTGTTACTTTGATCTACATATTATGTATGTGTAAGGTATATGAATGGCCGAATCCAAGAGGACAAGTACACTAATTGACATCCAATATTAAGATGGATAGGATTATAATTTAGGGGATTGTTTGATAATGGCTGAATTTTCTAAGAGTTTGTTTGGTTTGCAATTGGAATTGGAATTTGAATGAAAATTCTTTAGCATCTGAATTAGAATGATCTATTCCCATAGTCTATTTGGAAGTATTTTAAGACAATTTCTAAATAATAGAAATTAATGAATCAATTTTAGAGATTTGCCATTTTTTTTGACACCTAAGAGATATACCATTAAAGCTTTGAAATTTATTCAGCAAAATAAAGGAACGAAGGGTAAGGTGTTAAAATTTTAAGGGAAAATTCATTTTAGTACCCTAAACTTTGGGAGTAGTGTCAAGTTAGTACCCGAACTTTCAAACATGTCACTACAGTACCTAAGCTTTTAAAAAGTGTCAAGTTGATCCCTACCGTTAATCGACCCTCAGTTATCTATTGAAAATGTCAAAATTACCCTTCAAAAGAAGAAATTGTTCATTGTTTTCTACCTTTGAGATTAACCGGTTGAGGTGTTTGAGATTCTAGACTAATGAAGTCATTGTCTTCTACATTTAGATATGAAATACATTATTGTCTAGTTATTTCTTTGCTTTCATTTATTGTTTCCTTCTATCATATTTCATGTTTTTTTCTCTCTTTTTCTTTGAAGATAACTGATTCAGTCTCAGGGTAAAAGATAATGAACAATATCTTTTTTGAAGGATAGTTTAAACATTTTCAACAGATAACTGATGATCGATTAACGATAAGGACCAACCTAACACTTTTTGAAAGTTTAAATACTGCTATGACATATTTAAAAGTTCAAGTACTAATTTGATATTAATCATCTAATGTTAAGAGTACTAAAGGGAAGATTTTAAATAGGGTAGTTCCCAAGTCATTTTTTTAAGTTGAAAGCATTCAATGTCTTTGTTACGACTTACGACAAGTAACCGAGGGGAGCTTTATAAATTGTTACAAAAATGAGGGGAGGGTTTTATAATTTGCACTTGCAGAAAACATCGCTCTGGTAACGAGCCCTTGATTTAAGCTGTGAACGCTATGGATGCGACGTTTGAGCCTGGTTTACCTAAGATCATCCACAGTCCACACAATAGAAGCAGTTAGCAGTAGTCAACTGTGAGTCACCGACAGTTTAGAGGGCAGACGCAGGAATTTGTACAACGATCGTCTTAGCAGATGCTCGCTCCGTAGGTAAACAAGTGTAGAAAAAGAGTAAAAGTAGAAGTGCAAAACTGTAAAACCAGGTGTGAATAAAGTCTCTCTGACCGTAAAAAATAGAGCCATCTTCAGGGGTCTAGAATCTCGCGAATCGGAGGCTCGGACCACAGAGATGGAGACGGAAAAGAGAATTCTGATGGGTCTCTGCTTCCTAATGATTCTATCCGGTGTGAGATCTTGGACAGGTGAAATCCGTGGCAGAGTTGTCTGTGATGTCTGCGGGGATTCTACTATTGGACCTGAAGACCATGTTTTGGAAGGTAAGTTCAATGCATGCGCTCATATTCGCCATATTTTGCAGTCATAATTTGTTCTTTTGCGTCTTATTTGTTTGTTTTTTATTTGGATGAAATCCTCTTGTTGGATTATGGCGTTTGCCTTGTAATTGGCCATGAGTTTTGCTAGAAATTGAACTATTGTTTGATTAATGATCGTTTCGGTATTAACCTTGAGATGTGGGTGGATTAGGATTTAAGAAGCGTTTTTGAAATTGATCATGAAGATAACTGGGTTGGTGGGTTCTTTTATTTATTTTTTATTATATTATGGTGATTAAGCGGAAAAGTTATAGTTCCATCTGTTATGTTATTATGATTATAAATTGGATGGTTATGTACAGGTTTTGTTTTATGAGTGGCAGCATATACATGAAGGATGAAAACCCATCTTCTGATTTTGCTTTCTAGGCATCATGTGTGCTAATAGTTTTAATTGTACAATTAAGAGAACTTCCTTTCAACTTCTGTCATCTTGGTTTTCCTTTTTATAGACTGTCGATACTCAGTCTATAAATGCTGGAAATCAGGCAAATGCATCTTCAAGGAAAGAAGAGGCATGAGGGAACAGGCAATGCATCTACCAACTAAAAAGGTGGATGAAAATAGTCTACAAACTAAGAAGTAGAGGCAAGTGGATGAAAATGATATAAGTTTCTTATTTTGTATATAGGGAGTTCATTTAAAATAATAATATTTTCTTAAAATTGGTGTGCAAATGAAGTTTAGGGATCTCCTTATCTATGACAAATTTTTACTTAAGACTCTGAGGTTACCAAGTCCAGTGGCTTCTTCCTAGGCCCCTACAGTCCACATTGTATTTGCAGGCTACATATCACTGTAATTGTCTTACAAGAGTTTTGTCAGATTGTTTTTATTATTGTATGCAGATAACTTTCATGTTTAACTTATGAAAGAGGGGAAAAGAAAGTGAGACCTGGGGTCGGTGGTCAGCCTCTTGGGAAGCTATTTATTTAACTTGGGTTTCTCTTTGAAACAAAAGGAAATAATTTTCTAGACAAAGCTGAGCTTGGTTGTCTTGGGGATTGTTTATATTCTGAATTCCTGGGTCAGGCATTTGAGGTTCAAATGTTGATAGCAGGGACTATAGTCAGTGTACTATTATGATGTCAGGCACTGGCAATTGAGGAGATCTGATCCATGGTTTTCCTTGTCAGAGTTGGGAGTGTAATTACCTACTTCCCATGGTACAGCATCCTTCCTCACAGGGTGACTTACATATCTAGTCATGATTTTGAGAGCGAATTTTAACAAAAGGGACTATGGTTAATTTACTAATCTGATGTTTCTAGGAATTGTCTTTCTGGTCTGACTACATCTTTGAGGAATGATGGGTCTAGTCCAAGATTTCTTGGGTTTGTGACTTTGATATTCCTACTTATAAACAAGTTGACAATGGTGATTTTAGGAAGAGTTTCAAGGCTACTGTAGAGTGTATCAATTTTTCTTGTGGAAAGGAGGAACATCTATTAGCACGAGATTTTCAAGGTTAATTGTCATGCTGTGTTGAATGTCTTATTTTCCTTGTGTGTGATCCATGGTCATGCAGATTGCACAGAAATTCCAGCCAAAAACTGTGTTTAATAATCAATAAGTGATAACATGATTGGCTAGTTAAGTTGCTCATGACCTCAGAAAACCTGGTAGATCATGTGCACCCCCATCTTTTTTACCAAAGAATTAGTAGGTTGAAAATGGTTCATTCCATGGTTTCATCTGTTTCTCATTTTCTTGTTTGGTGCAGGCGCAGAGGTAGCTGTTCTTTGCATAACGAAATCTGGAGAAGTGCTCAATTATCAGGCATTCACGAATGCAAAGGGGATATACACAGTAGCAGAAACAATGCCTGAGAGTGACCGTTGGGAAACATGCTTAGCAAGGTCTATCAGCAGCTTTCATGAACACTGTATCCATCAAGGTGATGCCCATTCAGCAGTCAAGTTCGGTTACAATCATCCTTCAGGTTATTCTCATACTGTCAGGCCATTCCTCTACAGGCCAGTCAATGTTCCTATGTACTGCATTTAAATTATGCCTTACTATACATAAATATATAATATATTAGAAAATCATGTTGATATGAAATCAGGCAGGAGATGAGATAATGTTTATTGGGAATGTTGAATCCTCATAATTTGTGTCACTGGCTGTTCTTTTTGGTCATGAAAGTGGAAGATTCTATTTATTTACTTCTTCTATACCTCAATGTGAATGTGAAACTTGATTGCCTCAGACCAAATGGTTGATCTACACACTGATAAACGAACCTCTCTGAATGTTTTACAGTGGAGCTTGTGAATTGGGCTGATGTTAGTGCTAATAGATATTAAGGAGGTGTTCTATAGATGAGAAATTGGTGGGTGTGGATTGGTCCACACCACACCCTATGGTAGGGACCAATCCATACCACACCATAGTCCACAACTGTTCTGAATTGTGGATAGATTTTGTGGACCGGACCAGTTCATACTCACGATGGCGTTTTATAGGTCCACACCACACTTTTTGATTCCATGTATCTCATATATATTTTCTGGGAAATCTACACAGTGGATCATAAATGTCTAATTTTTGCATTTTATATGGTAAATGAATTGAAAAAAGACATCAATAAATTAATATGTAGGCAGCAATTGCATTTTTTAAATAATTAAAAAAATATTATTTTAAATATTAAAAAATTAAAAAAACTATATTAAAAATTAAAAATTAAAAATTTAAAAAATATTAAATAATTAAATAAAATGAGAGTGTGGACCATAGTGTGGACACCGTAGTGTGGGCCATCCACGAGAAAATACTGTGGACGATAACTTGGGGTGTGGCCCATCCCTGTCTACGTTATTTTGTGGACGGGGACCGTCCACACATAACATAACACCATATCTTATCGTGGACAGGACCGTTTGATCCCGTCCATCCACAATATTTACACGCTACCGACTCTACCACTTATTGCCTTGCTACTACTGAGTTAAAGAAAAGAAAATAAAAAACATCCACAATCATTTTTGTATTAGCATCGACAATCAAATATTTCATGCCACATTCATTGTCTTTCAATTGATAGTCAAATTGTCATTGCCACTAACACCCCTTTTTCAATCTTCATTTTTCACAACTGGGAAGAACAGAAAGTGGCTTTTTTTTTAAACTACAGATAATGTGCATTTCTTATGATGTTGAGGAGTAGAACAATATCAATGACAAGGCAGTCCGTTGCCTCTGTGTTTAACTAGTTTTAGCAGGCAAAGAAAACATACACACAGAATCAAAGGTTTGAGTAGAACAAAGAAGTGGGTAAACATCAGGTGTTCTTCAATTCAGTTAAAGAAATTTTAGATGGCTTGATGCCACTGTATAAATGTGATCAAAATTCCTTGAATTTTCCATAACTTTCCATTTGTTTATGAAACTATAGTGACAACCTTTAGGCATGTAGAGTGTAAAACAGTTCATATAAATTGCAAATTGGGTTAGTTTTGCACTGACAAATTTACTTTCTTACCAAATAGACTTTTAGCTGTAATGGATGCAAACATGAATTTCAATAAAGCATATGCCTTTTTTTTTTTTATCAAAAGCCCACTTGAATGCAAATTTACTTCTTTTTTATTGTACTTTTACATTTTATTATCAATGTAAATATGTATTGGTCTGTCATTTGTCAATACATAAATGTAATGTTGCCAAACAAGGCAAAAGTGAATCAGAGTACAAATTTATCCTAAACCGGGATTTACACTCCATTTGCATCATTTTCAAATGCAGCTTTAGTTGTAATCTATTTTGGAACAAGGTTGGTTATTCTGTTCTGTTTTATGGTATAAGATGATATTCGGCTACAGTTTACCGGTTTTTCTGCAGTACACTTAGCTTCAACGTACCCATAACTCATATAAAACGTGATATTTTGATCCTCTCTAAAAAATTGGAAGATTTTTTATTATGTTTATTTTTTTCTCTCCTTTAATTCAGTTTCAGGAAATTAATTAACGGGGGGTGGAAGCTACAAGGATTGTAGGACTAAAATCATTTTGATTGTGGCTTCCATTTCATTTGAGAGTAGTAGTTTACTATCTAAAATGAAGCTATTTCCAGTTGTAAAGGGGACTCATTTTCCTTTTTTCGGCCCATTAAACATCTAGAATCTTTGTGGTTTAGTGGAATTTGAAAAAAAAAATAATGAAATATTCACTTCAAATTGGCACCAAACAATCCATGACTGCTCAATACTTGCTTCTGAATACATATCCCAACAGCTGTGAAATTTCTAGTTACACAGAAAAAAAATGCTCTTAAGGGTAGGGATGTCAACTAAGGGTGTAAATAGTATTTTGAAAATATGATTTTGAATTCGAGATATGACCTAATTGAATCCAATTCGGATAATTTGAATAGATTTGATTCGATAAGTATCTGAATTTGATTGATTATTTAATTCTTATATATAATATATAAAACACTTAAATATTTTATATAATTTATATGTATAATAATTAAATTATATATTTATATAAATAAAATATTTTTTGTATATTTATTAATTGCCTAAAATAATTAATTGGTCGAATTCAAATCGAATCGAATATTTGAATATTTAATTGAATTTGAATTCGAATGTTAATTTTCAATATCTATCGAATATCGAATCAAATTCAGATATTGAATTTTTTTAATTGGATTCGAATTTGGATATTGCCTGATTCGATCCGTTTACACCCCTAATGTCAATGGGACAGGTTTGCCTCAACCCTAACCCAACCCTCCAATGTCCCAACCCGAGTGAGCCTGACCCAACAACAAAAAATGGTTTTGAACCCAACATGACTCTATAGGGTCTAACTCGATATTGACCCAACCCACAACATTTCAATTGTATTTTTTGAACATGCTTTAAAAACTAAAAAAACATTAGTTTAAATTAAGAATTTGTTTTATAAATTTTAAGGTGTCACTTTTTCCACTTAAAAAAAAAGAAAGCCAAAATCAATATATAAAGAAATCTTAAACTTTAGGCTGTGTTTGGTTTGAAGGAAAAGGTAGGGAAAGGAAGGAAAATGTAGAAAAACCTTGTATAGGTTTCCCTATGTTTCCCTTCCCTTCCTTACCTTTTCCTTCAAACCAAACATAGCCTTAAAGTTATGGAGTTAGAAGTCAAAAAATTATAAGAATACTATGTATATACAGGCGTATCATGACCCCGAACCCAGACTCACATCAAAGAATCAAAACCCTAACCTGCCCCTAAAGCTGAATATACCTGACTGTAACCCAACCCTGTAGGATCGGGTCAAGCCAGGTTTATTGTTTAACCCGACCCATTGGCTTCCTTAATTAAGGGTATTAGTCTTCCAACTACAGTCCACATTGCAAATGTATTCAACCAGCACATGGAGCATTCAAGTTAGGTTTCTGTAAAAAGTACTTTCACTTCAACAATTCAACTCTTGTAGCATCTATGGATCAAGGCAAATGCTTCAACATAGAGAACATATAATTCTCAGGGCCCATTTGGATCATGGGAATAGCCAAATAGGGGTATGGAATTGGAATCAGATCCAAGTATCCAACTTTTGGTTGGGCGGAATTGGAATCCCATTCTAATTCCTGTTTGAACCATTTGAGGGAGCCATTCCTCTCTTCCCTTAGGGATGTGATCTCATTCCAGCTGATTCCAATTTTGATTTCAATTCCTGTTTGAATAAACATGCTATGGGAATAAGACCATTCTGATTTTTTGATTCCAAGGGATGCCATTTTTAATTCTGGTCATGAACCAAACAGACACTTAGGTGTATTCTATTATTTTTTATGATAAAGCACACACAATGTGCCAATTGGCTGGTTGCTAAAGTGGGTTGGGGGATGGGCTACCCCTCTCATGTAGCCCTTGAGGCAAAAAAAAAAAGGATAAAAGACTAAGGGTCCGTTTGGTTCGTAGTCGGAATCAGAATTGGAATCGGAATGGTCTATTCCCATAATCCTTTGGTTCAAACAGGAATGGAAATGGGAATTAAAACCAGTAGGAATGAGATTTCATTCCCAAGGGAGGGGCAGGGAATGGCCATTCCCTCAAATAGGGGAATGCCATTCCAACAGGAATGGGAATGGGAATGGGATTTCGATTCCACCCAACCAAACAGTTGGAATTGGAATAACCCATTCCGATCCAATTCCAGACCCCTATTCCTTCGAACCAAATGGTGACTAAGGCTCTAAAATAGACTTAAATATACCTTGCAAACAGACTCCACTAGACTTAAAAGATACTTTCTATCTGTGACGTGAAATGTCACATGCAAGTTCATTTATATTTTTAAATCTTAATTTTCCCTTGTAAGATACCCTCCATTCTCGTATTTTGTGGCTGCTAAAATCAGGAAATCAGTCTACTTCTCAAACTAGCACATGCTAACACAATGTTATAGGTTAAAACTAATGGGCCACGGTGTGATGCATGGAAAAAAGATGTTAGGGTTTATTGGGATTAAAACTTATTACTCTATAGAGCTACACAACCCAAGGGTAGGGATATCAATTTTTCCTGTCCCCGCCAAGTATTCGGCCTCCCCAACCAAGCGGGGATGAGGATGGAGACTGCCTTAGTGGGGATAGAATTATAATAGGAATACTCGATTGGGGACTAGGACGGGGATAGGGAGTGAAGTCCACACCCCGCCCTGACCTTGATTATATATATTAAATATATAATATTATTTATATTATATATGAAAATATATTTAAAATATTATTTGAATTTTAATCTTCCTTTATTTTAAATAAATACCTTGCTGAAAATAAACTTTTAATTAACAATTTGGGGATTCAGGTCCTAGATGGGTCCCATGCAATACATGGGAAAAAAGATGTTAGGGTTTATTGGGCTTAGAACTTGTTGCTCTATGGGGCTACACAACCCGAGGGTAGGGATGCCAATTTTCCTCATCTCTATTGAGTATTGAGTATTTGATCTCCTTGATCAAGTGGGGATGGGGATGGAGACTGCCTTAGTAGGGATTAGTAAGAGAGAGAGAGAGAGAGAGAGAGAGAGAGAGAGAGAGAGATATTCTCTCCTTCATTAGAGTTTCCCTTCGTTAGCCTCCTTGACCAAGTGAGATGAGGAGTATGATCCTCGCTCCGAACCTACTCATTGCCATTCCTACTCGGACGGTCATTCCCCAAACCTATAACACCCCCAAACCCATAAATATAGTTCCAATAATTATGGAAATTATAAATATAGTATCCAATACTGATGAAAATTATTAATTTTTTTGATTATTTATTTGAATAATTGGAGGTTATATAATTAAACTTTACTAAATTGAATTACCAAAATCAGTAATTTTTATTAATTAAATTATCAAAATCACTAAATATTACTAAAAAATTATAGTAAATATCAAAATTACTGAAAAATAAAAAATAGATTTATATTTATTGAAATTAAATTTCCACTAAAAATAAAGTACTAAAATATTTTAATTATTATCTGATAATATCATTAGATATTAATAAATTGACCAAAATTACTGAAAATATCAATAACTACTTATCACTAAAATTATTGATAATATCAAAATTACTAATTAAAAGTGTAAAAAATAAATTTATATTTATTGAAATACAAATATCAATTTTTAAATTTGTATTTATTAATATTTTATTTAATTATCAATTTTTCATTAATTATTGATTTCGATAATTAATTTTCAAAAATTTCTGAAATTAAACTACCAAAATCAGTAATTTTCAGCATGTAATTTTTAGTAATTAAAATTTCCAATTTACCAAAATTATATATATATATATATAGATAGAGAGATAGATAGAGAGAGAGAGAGAGGTTTAAGTGTGATCATGGTGGGGCGGTGTAGATAATGTCTTCCATTTGCTTCCTTTTTGAAAACTAGTGTGTATATACTTTGCATGTGACAATTTTTGTCAGTCATTTTTGTTTAATATGAATATATGATATTATAGATGTATCCAAATGTTTTCTACAAAGTATCATAAAGTATGCTTAAATCATATTAAAAACACTTTTACCCTAATTTTGCATGTATTTGGTTCCATTTATGTTTATTGAATAAACACTTGTACTCTATTTGCTGATAAAATTGAAAAATGTAATAATTGCAGTTGTTTATGACAACTAGGCGCCACTTCAGTATAACAGTGAATAAATGCCGTTTGTGAAAGCTTCAAAAAATAACTTCTACAAACGGCTAGCATGCACATAAACCAAAGTTCACTTGTATAGAGAAGAACAAGAGAGAGAAAAATACTGAGATGATGCCTATGTGACACCATCAATAAACGTTTATTGAATAAACATAAAGGAACCAAACACCCTCCTTGTCGGACACCCTCCGGTGTCATGTGTAGCTGTGGAGCGCCGAGCCATGACCACCGGGCTTCGAATCTTTGATTTATGTATATGCCCAGGCCCAAGTACTACCCGCAGCGTCTTTTAACTCCCCAGCCAGCGTGGTTTGTCGTGATTGGGCCCAGTACAAAGCACCAGTGTCGTGGCGGGAACTGATTGGTTGCGTGACGAGGTGAACCGTTCAGAGGTTTGAGTCTTCGTTTTGACGTACAGTTCACGCCTCCCATATTTTTGTAAAGAATCGCAAAACGGAAACGGAAATCGGGTATGTAATCCAATCAAGCGTTAACACGTCAATGCATCGGACAATTGATTCTTGTATAGATGACTGGCGTGCTGAGTCTTGATTGAGTTACGCAGCCTGTTGTACACGTCAATGGGATCTATTATGCATGAAGAGCGAGAAACCCGCAGGCCGCAGAGAGAGAGAGAGAGAGAGAGAGAGGTCAGCGCAGAAGAAAGAAGACGAGTTAATGCTGACAGGGAAATTTCAGCAAGAAGGAACTAATCCGTTTAAAAAACAGACGCCATTACCGCCGGTGGAACCGTTGATGCTTGAGAGGTATCTCTGTCCTTGGACTCAAAATGATAAAATGGCTGAAACAGTTGCAGGCTGCCTTTGGTGCATCATTCCTATGGCTTATCTGCTTGATCTACTTCACCCAGGTCAGAATCTCATCTCTATAGGCACTATCTCTTTCTGCCTGCCTGATTTAGACAATGTATGAATGATTTACTGTTTTTTTTTTTTTAATATTTTGCTGGACGAATTTAAATTGTTTCGAGTCGTTGGCTTTTGAGGATCTGCTGGTTTTGGATTTCGGTTGCTGTTTGAAGGACTTACTGGTTTGGAGATTTTATGGGCACTGGGTTGAAAGGGTTCTGCATATGGAAATTGAGGTTTTGTGACGATTTCAATTTCGAGGTTCCGGGTTTTTAGTTTTGTCTGGATTTGGTGGCTTCCGAACTTGCCGTGATCTTTTACTTTTTTGTTTCACTCTAAATTGCGCAGTTTATTTTTATTTCTTTAATATGTTGTAATTTAGTTTAACGTTGTCATGGTTCTAGCCATCTTTTTCAGTTAATCGTATTGAATAAAACAGATAAAGTGAAAAGGGGCATAAATATGAGGTGTTGATTGTCCCTTTCTAGCAGACCCATAAAACCCTGTTGTGCATTAAAGGGAGTCAGCCAAAACTGAGGAGCTTGCGCACGCTTCTAGGACTTAGTTGGACACCACCTTTAACCCAAAAGCTTGTACAATTCGGTTGTGGGTCAACCCTTCTATACAAGTCCATTACATCTCTTTTCTTTTTCCTTGTGGGACTCTTCACAGCATACACTCAGGCATGTTCAACAACATGGTTGGTTTTGTTTTTGAAAACAGAAGCAACTGCCATGTCAGCCAAAGCAAAAATAGTTCAAAAACAACCATGTTGTCGAACAACCTCTCTATGTGAATCCTAACAATCTCCCCCTCATGTGAGTTTCTAACACATTAGGTACTCCATACTCCCCCTCAAACGGAAGCAGTTATCATAGTACCAAGCTTGATAGACACCAACCCCAAGAGCCTATTGCTCATATCATAACCATAGGGAGCTATCACTCAATTGTCATATGCCAAATGGAGAGTCATCCATGGGTGGGCAAAGCTATGACTATGAGAGTCACCAATCACTCAACTATGGGAGCACATTCCCATGGTAGAATTATCATGGGAGATCAATTGCTCTTGCCAACTACTTGACCGTGAGAAAACTAGCAAAGCCATGGGAGTCATCACGTGCATTTGTCAGCCAAAACTGGGCAGCTTGCACACATGTGTAGGACTTATAAATAAGAGTTGCACACCACCTTTAACCCGAAAGCTTAAGCCATTAGATTGTGGGCCAATCCTTGCATAAAAGTCCTTTACATCTCTTTTCTTTTTCCAATATGGGACTCTTCACTCCATGCACCCACACGTGACTCCCAACAAACTGTTACCCTTCTAGAAGAAGCTATTCTTTGTTCTTATGGAAGATTAACTGAATTATTTCTTTTCTTTATTTCTTTTGTTTATTTGTTTGCTTTTTTTTCTTTTTTCTTTTTTTTTTTTTTGGGGGGGGGGAGGTTGTATAAGAAGATTGGATGATTCAATGAATGCAATATTCATTTCTTTTTTTGTTCACTCAATGTATAGATATTATACCAGTCTTATTTATGGATTTGGTTGGTTTCATTGCTCAAAATTGTATTGCTTAAATTGTGTTGCATGAACACTTCAAATTTGGAGCCATGTCCCATTGAAAACTTTAGTTTTTGCTCTAAATTCTATGTCTCCTTTATCTCTACATAAATGCGCATTCATGGAGGTTCACAACATACATGACTCTGAGATAATGCTCTTCTTGCCAAAGTTCAAGAGAATGAGAAAGAGGCACATTGGTGAAATCAACTAAATTCAACTCATTGGAGAGTTACTTTAATGAGAACTTGATCCTGTGTATGTGTGTTTTCCCCTTTGGAGAGTTACTTCCACTGCTTGTAAATCCCCATTGAGAACTTGACCTTTTGCTAGGAATGGGAGGGATAGTTGTGATGCCTTTTTTGTGCAAATAAAAAATTAATGAATAATCGACAGAGAAGAAAAATTCTGCCTTTAAGAAGTCTCCATTCCCCATTGGTCCTAAGAAGAATGCTCTTAAGTTTCCTTCCTTGTCTCTAATGACCCCTCCTATTCCAACTGGGCCTGGGTTGCCTTGACTACTCCCATCGAAGTTTAATTTTAGAAATCCTTCAATGGGAGCAGCCCAAGCCAACCTTGCCTTAACCTTTTGCGTTGAGCTAGAAGCCACTAAAGGCCAATTACTCCAAATAATATCAAATGTGAAGTTTTTGAAAAGTTCCACCGTTTGTAGCCAGTGTATAACCCTAGTCATTACACACTCCACAATTTGTCGTTTGCTCCTTTCTTTCTCTTGAAAGATTCTGACATTTCTCTCTTCCCACAAGGTCCACACCATTGCTGCTCTAGTGTACCTCCACATTACTCTTCCCCTCTTCTTCAGTAAAGCAAAGGTAGATGGGTTAAACAACATTTTTATCTCCGTTGGCATATTCCACCTACACCCAAACAGAGAGAAAAACCAATCCCATATATTTGTAGCAAATGAACAGGAAATTAGTAAATGGTAACAAGATTCACCATCGGATTTTCATAGAGTGAACCAATTCGGGGAAATACATAGAAAAGGCCTCTTCTTTTGCAAATAATCTAGAGTGTTAATTTTCCCAAGAGCCATTTCCTAACAGAAGGCCTGAAATTTAGGGGGAATCAGCGGGAACCGCACTTCTTTCCAAGGAAAGGATAGAAAGGAAGGGAACTGACAAAGAGCTTTAAAAAAGGAGGCACAAGAAAAGGAACCTTTAGAGCCTAGGGACCAAATTCTTCTATCTGGACAAGAAAGCTCTAAGCAAACACTATCAAGGAAAAGGAGAAGCTCTGACAGACAAGTTGCTTCCTCATCCCTCAAACCCCTTCGAAATCCGAGATCCCAATTAAGACTCAAAGGCAAAGAAAGGAAGAACCAAAAATTTGAAATGACCTTATTTTTATACAACAAAATAGAATAAAAAGAAGGAAACTCCTCCTTTAATGGCCGGCCACCAAACCAAGTGTCTTCCTAGAACCGAATTAAATTCCTGAGCCAACATCATACCTGGTGTACCTGAGAAACTGAGGGAGGAGGCTATGAATTGCTTTCCAAGGTGCTGCCAAGGTAGCCCTATGCGATACATCAGCGTCCCAGCCATTCTCCAATCTACCATGTATACTTGCCACTACTTCAACATTCAACCCACAAATTTTCTCTCTCAAGAGGCCATCTCCATAATCATTTCCCTAACAGAGCTGTATTCTTCTTCCTTACAGTCCCTAGACCTAAACCACCTTCTTCCTTTCTTTTACACACAACCTCCCATTTTATTAAGTGTTCCTTTCTAGTCTCTCCCGGCTCCCAAAGGAAATCCCTCATAATTTTTTTTCTAATTTCTGAATATTTGATTAACTGAATATTTACTCCCACCAGCCTGGATGGTGCAGAATTAAAAAAATAGTATTATTTATTTCTGTGTTTGAGTTTAGGAGGAGTCTTATCATATAGCAGAATAACTTCCTTCTTAAGCAGACCTTTGGTTATTCAGTGTTGTCAAGGGACAATTTTGTAAGTGTTCATTATGCATATACTTTTTTTCTGCTTCTGATGCTATTGAGTGTTAAAATCCTTCAACAGGAACAGTCATGTGGACATGGAATCATAATTATGAACAGAATTGTCAAGTATTTTAGAAAATAGTTCTGGATGAATCAATCCCGAATCGGAAATGACATCTTTGTCAACACTTGGATGAGTTGAGTCCCCTAAATGATACTTTTCTTGAAGGTGCATTCTTTATGGTGTAAATACATTAAATATGAGCTAATGTATTTAGATTATGAAATGAGCGGGAAAAGCAAAAAGTTAAGGCAGGGTTTGAAGATAATATCACATTTCTTTCATGATCATCTACTGTGGATGGGGATTGGACTAAATTAAAGTTATGAGATTGGATCTCTTTCTTTCCTTCTTGCATCTTATGCAGGCCCTTTCTGTATGATGGTATAATATGGTGCACCATAATAACGTGTTTCTTTTATTTTTTGTGGTTGGACCAGACTATGTGCATGTGAGCTTTAGAATTTTTATGTGCGTTTTACAATATTTTTCTTTGACTTGTTATGACAAAAATGTCATATATTGATGTGATTATTGTTGATATTGATCCATTGAGTTCCAAATGCCATCATGTGGTCTTTACCAAAGGCATATAAATTGCTATGCAGACAGTGTGCTCTCAAGGAATCCGTTTCTTTCAAATCTAGAAGGTTTTTTTAATTAATGTCTCTAGATTATGGAATTTTTTTACATGTACGGGTAGGTGCTTGATTGGTACTTTGTGGATTGCAAATATTAGAAGGGATGCATATTTCAGGATTGTTTCGAATGCTGCTACAGTAGTCCGAACTAGGAAGAGAAGGAAGGAGAAGAGGAAGAAGAAGAGAAGAAGAAGAAAGAAAATAAGGGTCTGTCGAAMTCTGTTGGATTACCCCYACAGTCGACCCCCTTAATCTTCATTAGATTCTAATGATCTTTACAAAGACAAAAGTGCCCTTACTTAAGTGTGGGGCAGAGTGACTCTAATAACACTGCCACATAAGCAAGCTACTTACTTAACAAGCATAAGAAGACTAAACTACCCCTATTCGGCACATTTTAACACTCCCCCTCAAGCTAGAGAATATGTCATATAATCCCAGCTTGTTACATAGATAGTTCACTTTCCCTGAGCTTAGAGCTTTTGTAAACAAATCTGCCCACTGGTCATTAGAGCCCACATGTTCTGTATTTATCTCTCCAACAAGGACCTTCTCCCTCACAAAGTGGCAATCAACCTCTATGTGCTTKGTTCTCTCATGAAAGACAGGGTTGGATGAGATATGGAGTGCAGCTTGGTTGTCACAGTACAATCTCATAGGTTTATCCATGTGAAATCCAATTTCTTGTAGGAGATTCCTCAACCACACTAATTCACAGGTAGTGTGCAATAGCCTGTAGTAGATTTTCTGTCATTCATTGAGCCTG